GGGGTTTGAAAGTATTTCCGTGTGTCAGAATGGAGTTAGAGTATTGGCTGGTGTTGGGGATCAGTTAATGTGAGAGAAATCCTTATGCTTGAGGCAGAAGTGTGGATGTTCTTATTTGAGTGAAAGTAGAGAAGGAAACCAAGGTCTCTTTCCCCTTCTATATGGGTTGGCACAGCAGGTGTAAACTAGGATGTATTTTATGTTCTTTTATTGAGACAGGGTTTCTCTGTGGTTTTGAAGTCTGTCATGGAATTCACTCTGTAGACCAGGCTGGCTTTGAACTCACAGAGATCTTCTTGCCTCAGCCTCCTGAGTGCTGGGATTAAAGGCATGTGCCACCACCTCCTGGCATACTTTTATGTTCTTTATTGAGTCCACAAGAACCTGAAACACTGCCTTAATTTGACACCTTAGCCTTTTTTATGACACTGTAGTCCAAACCCACCACTGGCCATAGTAATTACAGTCCTTTACTGGGTGTCTGCTGTCTATTTTAGTGTTTGTCCTGTTGCTGCTACTGTAACACAGCTGTAAGGGCAGAGCCCTTGTCTAGGTAACACATGTGAAAATAACTTTAAACAATGTTTATATACACATAGGCATTTCCAGAAACACATACAGGATATGGTCAGAGTTTTTGCCACCTGGAAGATGGAGGGGGATAATTGTTAAGAGGAATTTGTGTGGGAAGGATACTTCCTCTGAAATGCACACCTTTGTTTCATTGCCACTATATTCTTACTCTGCCTATACATTATAGTTTGAATTTTCCAAAGTGCTTCATGAAAACTAGACTTTTCATCCACAGTGAAATTTTTAAAAATTTATTTTTTGAGGCAGGTTCTTGGTTTGTGTTTTGTTTTGAGAAGATGAATGTGCATTACCACGGCTAGCTGGATATGATATTTATAAACCTCTTTTCCTGTTACTCTAGAGGACAGTTGGAAAGATGATCCCATTTTGTTTCAAACTGGGTCATAAGGACTAATACCCTCATATCTAGACTATATATATGTATATGTATATATATATATATATATATATATATATGTGTGTGTGTGTGTGTGTGTGTGTGTGTGTGTGTGAAATGAGCTATTTATATTTAAATGCTATTTTCTAAGAATTCTTTGCTTTGCCTATTACAAGTGATTTTATAGATATCCTTCTGATAATGCCATGCATTTATTGTTTGATCCTCACAGCATGACTCCAGGGTTGGCATGCTATCATGCTGATCTTGTATTTGAAATGACCAGGGCCTGGACAGGAGAAACAGCTGAATGCAAGTTCACGACTCTAGGTCTCACCAAATGTCTGATCCACACTGGTCTTGATACCCAAGCTGGTGCCTTCAACGACTACCCTGTCTGAGGAAGCACGGCACAGTAGCCAAGTTTCTCATCCACTCTCGGCTGTAGCTCTCATTCTCCGTGTCTCCATGTAGAGGACTTTGCTGTGACTACTCAGAGGACCTCACTCCATGGGCAGCTGTGCTGCCATGAGCATCTCCATGTACAGCACAACATGGATACTGCACAGCATGGAAAGTGTCATTATCATGTAAGACGATGGGGAAGGTTTTTAGATTATGAACCACATGGAACCAGGTGGACATCTACAACAGGCTAATTCAACATCAGTTCCTCTTCAGCAGAACACATCGTAATGTAAGATGAATTCCTGTCCTGTTTTACCTCAGGCTGTGGTCCTATAAAGATCTGAAGGCTCACTCTCTCAGTGATACCGTAATAAAAATAAATGATTTAAGTCAACCTGCTGCTTATTATAGATAAGGCTTGCACAGCTGTAAAGTTCTGTTGAACAGAGTGGAACACTGTCTATCAGAGATATTTTTCCTAAGTTCTTATTCCATCCTTTAAAAAGGGCCAAAAATGTAGTGTTCACATTGATTAGGAAATGGGGCTAACTTTTAACGTGGTCCCATCACTGAGTGACCTTGGTGATAACATACTGAAACTCAAAGGAAGTTAATAAATGTCTCACTGAGCATGCACGTGCTTAAGTGGACATGGAAACCCTATCTACCTGCAGAAAGTACAGTGATCAAAAGGGATATGCAAATAGTCTAAGGTTTAACTATTTCACAGCTTAAAATTTCATCCTTGCCTTAAGTGCTAACTGGCTGCTTGGATTCTCCATGGGCATAAAACCACATAATTTTGTTTATGACTGTCTGATTAGCTGGTTACTATATTTTAAATAACCAATGTACAAATATATACTTCACAGGGAATCCTATAGGAGCCATCTAGACACATTCCATGTTCACTGCCTTGAGTCTAACTGATATTAAAGGTACTATCTCTGCAGAAGATTTCATGAGGACACAGAACTGAACTCATGTGTAGCCATCCAGCAACCAACATGACTGAAATAATGGATGCCACTCACTGGAACCTGTTATTAAAAAGTCACCTTTGAAAAAATAAATATCCATTCTTGATTAAAAGGCCTCCAGAAGGCAGGGATAAGTTGATATTTACAAAATTATATATTTTGTAACATGAGAAAATACCTTAACATATAAAACTGAATGGAAAATAATATGATGGAAACTAATTTTAAAATCTCATTGAGAGTATTCCTTTAAATACTATAGGATGAGAGATTAGCTTGCCATGTCATTTTAGAATATTCAGAGGGATTATCAGACATGCCAGCAAAATGAAACAGGATGTTTAAAATTAGAAGCAACTAAACCATCACACAGTGATTACATACCTGGGACAAGTGTAAGAAGACTACGTCAGATTGACAGGGATAATTTAACAGTGCTACTAGAGACTAAAGGGTCAAGCAAAAGCAAAAATAGAAACTTCACTTAGGAGATTTGACATCACAGTTGTAACCTTATCCTGAGTTATCCTATAGTTTTGAAAGCTGCCACAGCAACTCTAAACTCATAAACACAAATGCAGTGAAGATAATGAAACAGAGGGGACCACAGGGGCAGCTGTGAGGCACGCAGCCAAGTGCGGTACTGGAGCCGGAGCACAGATGGTGGCGACAGCTCAGAGAGCATTGAAAAAGGACCAGTTTCCCTCCCAGGGCTACTTCATGTTGTTAGAGGAGGCTACTGCACTTCAGGGGAAAGTTAATTATTCAACAAGTGCCAGTCATAGAAGCAGAAGGTCACCATAAAAATTTGCACCTTTCTTCATTCTTTATAAAGAAAAGTTCTGCAAGATTTAATTATAAAAGGGAAATAAATACGAGGTAGAGGAAAACAGAGAGAATGTTTTTCTAAGTTTTGGCCTGGAGAAGATCTAATTACACAAGCTCTAGTGGTTTATTCAAAACTGGATAGATTCAGCTACTCAACAACAGCAGCACATCTACAGGCTTCATAGAATCACAGCTAAAGACAAAGACAATGAGAAACTGGGAGAAATGTCACCCCATAGTATAGAATATTGGCTAATTTCCTTGACCAATCAACACCTGATACACACTAAGAAGAAAGTATCCAACAACTCAACTGAAGAACCATCAGACCACAGAAGCAGGTACATAACAGGTACTTCCTGTTTTACACTGTCCTTGAGAATATATTTAGCATTACTTATAATTTAAAAAGTGTGGTGCCATAGCTGGAAATGTAGCATGGTGGTGGGCTGGGGCTTAGCATGTACAAGACCAGGGGCTCAATGCCTAGCTCCACAGGAAAAAAAAACAAAAGTGATGCTATCTATCAAACCAATAAAAAGCTGTAACATTCATTTGATAAGGCTTTGGAAAGCTGTTTTTCTTACATTTCTCTCTCTCTCTCTCTCTCTCTCTCTCTCTCTCTCTCTCTCTCTGTGTGTGTGTGTGTGTGTGTGTGTCCATCTGTGTGTCTGTATATGCATGTGCTTGTCCCAAGAGGGGCATGGGGCAGTCCTACTTTGTGGGAGTCACTTCTCTCTTTCTATTCTGTGGATTCTGGGGCTTAGACTCAAGGTATCAGGCTTGGAGTTGAGCACCTTTGCCCACTGAGCCAAATATCTGTCCCCAGAAAACTACTTTTTAAATATTGTTGTGTTGGTTGAAGTATAAATTGGTTCAACAATGTTATTTTGGAAGACAACATTGCAGTCAACAGTACATATAATATTGTCTTGGCAATTAATCTTCTAGAATTTACCTTATAGATACACTGAAAAATGTGCTAAGTATCACATATGTATGTCTTGTTTGAAAGAGAAAATATGTTCATTAATGGGAATTGGATAAATGAATGTGATGTAGGAAGAGGAAGACAGAGCAATGCCTGGCACTCATGAGCAACAAGAAGGCTGTTTGATTTTGTGTTGGGATGAATTGATCTCCATGATAATTAATCTCCAAGACAAAGGAGGGTGCAGATTTACTTATACCCTTATTCTGTTTTAAAGAGTGAGTTTACATATGCAAGCAATGCATTTAGAAATGTGATTATGTATACAAGCATATGCATTTAGATGTGTGTAAAATGTCCATCGAAGATACTCTCTGGATCAGAAGTATCCAGGACTCACATAGAAGGCAATCATTTTTCATTGCATTCCACAGTACAACATTCATATTTTATACAGTGTATATATGCTAAAAATGAACTGCTTTTAAAAAAGTTTATTTTAAAAACAAAAATCTTATTCTCTACCCCCTTTACTTTCCCAAGGAGGAAATCCTGGTTATTTTCTAGTCATGTTGTCACTATTAGTACAATCTAGGCTCCTGTCCCTCTCGCCTTCTCCCTTCTTTCTGTGTTTGCTTAAACATACAATTGTTTAAAAATGAGTGATAGGCAGGAGGATGGAATAAACCAGTAAAACATCAGAATACAAACATGTAAGAACTTTTTGAAAAACTGCACTGCAGAAGTGAATGGAGTTTGTGGAGTGGAGTCGGTAGACATTGTTGATCTCATCCTGTTACTTGTGAGTTACAAAATTTATACCATAATATGTGTCATTTGCATTAAGTTTACATAGTGATGCTTTTCTTAATGAGCTACTCACCTGGTTCCTGTCCCTGGCATTTGCATATCGGAACCTCTGGATATAATAAAAGACCAGCCATGCGAGGGAAATGATCATCAGGACAATGAAGGATATGGAGACAAACACAACCGAAGTGCGGCTCACATATTTCTGCAGGTTCCGGGTTCCGATGGTGATGTGCATGGTCACGGTGATGTTCCTCTCCAGCAGGCTCACTATCTCCTTCCCTTTGGGCTCAGGAATCATTATGGCCACAATGTCTTCCACACCTGCGGCGACAGGGGCGAGGAATCGGGCAATGAGGGTTGGTGAGAGGAGACAATCAGAGTGAAATGTTTGGGAGGGCACTGTCCAATGACAGCCAGGGACAAGCCACTTTATAAGGCACCATCATTTTGACTGATAGTCCGACAAACTATAGTAATTTGGTCTCCCGAATAAAGGTAACTTGTGCTCTCCCCACCGTCATCACTGGCTGCAAGCATGCGTTAAGGACGCCATCAACCACACGATGTAGACTCTTCCCCTTCCTCTGAAGCCTCTTAGAAGGGGCCCCAAATGCCTCTCAAAAAACCCTGCCATGCAGCTGTCTGTTCATGATGTCAATACCTCTTCTAATAAAGTTCTTTTACTTCAAAGCACAGTTAACTCAATGTTCCCCTAAAACCTTCCATTTCCAGAATCTTCTTCAGAGTTGAGATACCTAACAGCCGGAGTCTGAGTTTCATCTTGCATTTCTTCAGCTCCTCAGAGATGCTGCTGCTACACACACACACACACCCCCACACACACAAACAGACACACACCCCCCCACACACAGACACCACACCACACCATACACCTTACCACACACACACACACACCGCACAGACACTACACATACCATACACCTCACCCCCCCACACACCACTAAGTTGAAATCATGATTCAGATACCAGCAAGGCCACATCCAGGCTACTTTTCTACTCTCTCAGGTACTGCCCCTGAATTTGGTGAAAGTGGACCCCTCCATAGATTCCCCTGAAAAGAACAAAAGGAGTTTCTGCTTTACGGCAAGAAATGAGACACAGCTTCCAACTGCCTGCCTCAGTGCTCTCTGGTACTTTCTCATGTACTCTGTAAACACTCAGTGTCAGATTTCTGACTAACATCGGTAAAGCAATTTTTCTCCAACAGTGAGTACCCAAGCAACCAAAGCCAGGGACTCTTGAAGGACTCCAATAGGCTGGGCTAACTGACATAATGGTCTCAGAGCCATTTTCTGCATAGTTTGCCCAATCCAAAGGAAGCAATTATGTGTCCTACACAAGCAAAGGGAAGATGAAGGTAGATGATCCTGGAACAATAGGCCTTCTCATGTATTTCCACCAAGGTGTCCTTATTTTTTGTACAGTTGGAAGGAAGAGGCTCTTTTCTTGGACCTCAGTCATGTGTGTCCTTGTCCCTATCATGGCACTGTGTGAGGGGCAGATCTCAGGAAGGACTAAGAACTTACGCACAGGGCTTTTTCATAAGCATAGGACACCAAATTCCAAGGCCCTAACCCAATCTGTCTCTGTGGCTGACATGTGGAAGAGAATCCCACAGTTCAATCTGTAGGAAAAGCTGTAAGCTGAGTGGTACACACAGCCCCACTTCCAGGTGGAAATATCCCGTTACCTGTGGTGATTAAATGAAATGGAACCAGCTTACTATTTAGGGAGTTGTAGATTCAGGGAACAAATGAAAGCCTTCTGTAGATGCTTGCAGAATGTGGTCCAGCAGCCCGCTGGTATAGGATCACTCAGCTAGGATGAACCAGATTATACCTGTGTGTGTGTGGGGGGGGTGACTGGGGTGGGGGTGGGGAGGAGTGGTATTGCAAGTCTCTTTGACTTTACTCTCTATTCTTGGTTTCAGTCCCATATCCTTGACAGTGTGTCATTCAGGCTGATTAAATACTTAAAACTCAACTGCCTTAGGATCATTTACTTGTTACTATAACATAATTTTACATCACAAAAAACCCACCCAGGTACACACAAAGGAGACTAGCCATTGGTCACGTATTTTCAACATTCCCACAATTACTGTGTTGATATTAGAAGACCATCAAGCCATTCGCTGAGTGTTCAAGTTTTGTGGCCGTCTTTAAGAATTACTGAAACTGATGGCTTGAATTCTCACTTGGCTGGGTATACCCATTATCATGTAGCCCCTTCTCATGCTGTGTTTATTCTGGCTAATGGCTTCCTGTGGTCTAGGTTTTGTGAGGGATTAAAGGCACTCCTAGGTTTTGACTCCACGGAAATATGATCTGCTTTGTACTCTGGACTAATCTGGTCTGGGGGTGGGTTCATCCCAGGGCTGCAGTTATTTTAGAGACATATGAGTACTTGAGAGAGGGTCATGATTTTCTATTTATTTCCTTGTTTATATTTTCTAGGCTTATTTAAAGCTCTAGATTAGATTTTTGTAAAGACAGGATGTGGGGCTAAACTAAGAGGCTTTCTATGCTCAGACAGGCACACATTTATATTTTAATAGCCAAATGAAGACATTCCTTAATTGCTTCCAGTTTTGATCCTCTGTTTAAAAGGTTTGTTTCCACTCAAGACCATAGAGCTACTCATTTAAAAAACAGCTTTTCTAAACCATATAGTTTTACCTTCCATATTTAAATCTTTAGCGAACCAATACAGCTTTCAGAGAAAACAGTATTTATTGAGTTCTCTTAATGGATAAACAGAAAGGACAGAGACCAGAGTGTGATTTAGTTTGCCCCTAAATTCTCAGCTTTATTTTCTACTTTGTGTTTTCTGTGATGTTGACCTACTTTTTGCTGAACCTGCCCCAGGCTTTTAATCTTTAAAGCCTTTAACGTGTTTCCCACCCAGTGGCTTGAATGCCCCAACCCTCCCCCAACCCCACTTCCAGCCTACAGTTCTCCTATTAGGAATTCACACTTGAGAGGCCATGCAGTACAATCATTACGAGTTGCTCTCTGGAACCAGACAGTGTGTTTTAATCCAGTACAGCACTTTAAAAATAGGCCCCAAAAGTTTTGGATCGCCGAGACTCTCTAAATTATTCATTATCTGCTTTCAGGGATCTGAGAAAACATTTTCTCTTTCTTGCAGGGTAAGGTATAATTAACTATTTTACACTGTTTGTTTTAAACCTAAGTGGCTAGTGGCTGCTTGTTGTCCCTACCACTGTGGGGACTTCAGGACATATGACATGCCCTGGAGAAAAGCATGTAGGGCATTGGGGCAACAGGTCTATTGGTCTGGGCAGGTCTTAGTCATATCTATTTCTCTTTGTACTTTAGGCTGTATACTTGTACAGTAAATTGCATTGGGGATATGAATTCATCCTAGTGGGAATAGTCACTAAAAACTGGATGCCTAGGGGCTCCAGAGATGGCTCAGTGGTTAAGAGCATTTGCTGCTTTCTCAAAGGACCTGGGTTCAATTCCCAGGACCCACATTAAGGGCTCACAATTCTTTGTAACTCCAGTTCCAAAAGATCTGATGTTTTTTTTTTTCACCTTTGTGGGCTCCTGAATGCAAATGATGCACATAAACTCATGCAGGCATACATGCATGCGGGCCCAGCCCCCCCCACACACACACTCACACACACACACTAAATTGGCTGTCTAAGGTATCCAATAAAGCTGCTGTAGAGTTATCTGCATTTGGATGAGTTACTCTGACTAGTGCAGAATGCAGGCCAAGAGGCTGTTGCAGGGCCTGATCTGCTGAAGGGGACGAGTGAACTGACGGGAGTAGTCACACTCTTCCTTGATTTTTCCTTCATTCCAGATGTATACCTGCAGCAGAAGAGTAGCTGTGGGTGAGCAACAGACAGGAAAGGAGAGACATGGGCACTGACAGGGTGTGGAAGGGCTTGCTGAGAGATCCCAGGAACTGTCCAGTGTTGAATGCTGCTTTGTTGATGCACTTTTTATCTGTGGCACACTATGGAAGTGACACACACACACACACACACACACACACACACACACACACACACACACACACACAGCATATTTTGTGTGGGTAAAACCCACACCAACCAAGCTACTAGGGTAATTTTGTGCTGACTATGATACTGAGGCACTTTCCTGCCAAATGCCTGCTTTGGTAAAATGACCCCAGTCTACCATCTATTTTCCTGTCAAAGGCACTTCAGTCGGTGGAGTGGAAGGCTGTTATGTAATCACTGTTCAGCCCAGAAAACTTCTCCAGTTAGAGACAACACTGTGACCAGCACAGACACCCCCAATGCCACAAGCAGAAACACAATGTATGTAATGCTTTTTTATCCATAACTGCACCAGCAGTCAGAATCTTATTTGATTTATGTGTGTACATCAGGAATCCAAAGCTTTCAAAGCCCAATGGTGTTCAATGATGAGAAAGCCTCTACTCATACACTCAAGCCAGGCTGCTTAGTCACCGTGGAGTGAAATCTCTAGAATATCAGCAGAGCACAAAACACTGTATGGAGCCCATCACATGTTCCCCCATGCCCCTTGGGTGATGTGAATATCTCTGTACCTGCCTCTCTTCCCTAATCTGTGCTTTAGTCTGCCTTACCGTTAACTCTCTAGGATTTAGGAAATTAAGAAAAACATTCGCTGTTCAATTGTAAATATTTTCAACTTATGCATTTGAAATAGTTCATTTAAAAATGTAGTCAGCTTCTGATAACTGTTAATTCTCAAGTGTGATATGTATGAGATGGTTTAAAAACAGTAAGGTACTATGTAAATTGAAAGTTATTACTATTTTCTGTACCAACAAACATTTCTAATATATATAGATGCAAAACTTCTAATTCAAGCTCTCCCAAATTGAATACAGCAGCATATTAAAACAATTTTCATACCTAAGTGGGATTTATTCAGAATATGAGAATGATCTAATGTCAGAATATATTGTGGTGCTTTGTAGGACACTCACAAGTTTAAGTAAAAGGCATATGGCTGTAGGGAAAGCTGTAGCCACGCCTTCTTAGGGCCTGGCTACAGGTGTGTCTGACCAGGCTTGTGAGGGCGTGGTCAGAGTGATGTAGTGGAACTGCGTTTTCAGTTTCGGTTTCTTTTTGCTTCATGCTGTACAGACCTCTACCACGCCAGCTGGCTAGGTTGCTCTGTAAGGCTTTTCCCTATTAAATATCCTTATATTTCTACCTGACTCCATATTGGTAATTTCCCACAATATCTGGTGCCAGAAGTGGGATATTGGAAACCTACACCCCATTTGGGACAGGCTGTGGGTTC